ATATCAGTCATTCCAGGTGAGAGCGAGGTTAAACACAGAGGCTGACTGTTCAAAACTCCATTGAAGTTGAAATCACATTGTTTTAGCCTGAGCCATGCTGTTTGCTGTACAATAAGAGCAAATATAAAAAGCAGGAATCGGAAACTTTGCTTTCAGTGAAATGGGATTCCTTGCTTTTTAAATATTGTTGCTTCATTTGTTTCTAAATCAGCCTTTGAGTTTAACAGTTTCTTGCATGAGACATTTGCAGTAAGTGGCTATATGATTTGCATCTTATGACATCCAGCTTTCTACTTTTAAATTAAAGACCAGTGCACTAAGGCTTTCATATTGATGCAAATTTTCCTATTTGTTGCAGGCACTTTAAATGGAAACTTGCAATCTGCTCTGTGTGTGCATATGACGGTGGCTGTTGTTGTTTTTAAAATTTTTAATGATAACGCAGAACATAAAAGAGAGCATGGGCCATGCATGGGGATTTTCTGAAAGGTTGTCTTTCTTCTCCAAGCCATCACCTGTTTTATTAAATAAGAGCAAATACAGCACTATTAACATATCTAACATTAACTTATTCGTGTTGTTGAACCCTTTAATAACTGAAACTGCAATAATGGTTTGGGCAAGAGACACCAGCAAAACAAAGCAGCATTCTTTTCTACATAGGGCTGAGACAGAGCATGGAGAGCAAAAACACATTTTTGCTTAGGGAAGTTTCTCTGGTTATATGTTGTTTATATTGTTAGATGTCTATTTTATTTCTACACACAATTTTAGACCTAACGGCTTCTCATTCATGTTCATAGGCAATCAGGCTTTTCATTGAACTTCCACAAATAAAATCATTTTGTTGCCATTCTGCATGAAATATTACCTAAATCAAGCACCTTCACATGACATGTTGTACATTTAGGGTGTGTGACATCACAGTGAATCATGCTTTCTGCTTGCAGGCCTGAAGACCATTGTGGGGGCCCTCATTCAGTCTGTGAAGAAGCTCTCAGACGTCATGATCCTGACGGTGTTTTGTCTGAGTGTGTTTGCCCTCATAGGGCTCCAGCTTTTCATGGGGAACCTGAGGCATAAGTGCCTCATTTGGCCACCAGACAATTCTACTTTTGAGATAAACATAACCTCCTACTTCAACAGCACACTGGGAGAAAATGGTACCTTTGTTAACACGACTGTGACCACATTTAACTGGGATGAGTACGTCAGTGATGACAGTAAGGACACTGTATAACTTTTCAGATATTAAAAAATGGCAGGTGGATTATTGTTAATCTATGAACTAAGATGATGCAGCGTAGCTTCGACCAGAGCCCTCAGACTTGTCCATTGACTGCAGTTGTTCTTCTGTCTATCTTGGATAGGGCTAGCACGGACTGTTCACATTTCTGTAGCAGAGTCAGATTAGGTTCTGAGCCCCTGACCAGGTGCCCTTCCTATCACCTTCCAGGTAGGCGTTTGGGACAGGGAAGGGATTCTGTTTGGGTAACCCCCACCCTACTGCCCAGCAGTTCCTGTTCCTGAGGTAGCTGGTGTGGTGGAGGGGTGGAACTGGAGTCATACCTCTGTGTTGGGTAGGATGGTGGCAATCTGCATGCAAAGGAAGGATCTACAGTTTTGCTGCCACAGACAGATGACTACCTGATGGAGTTTGGAGCTCCAATGAGACCCTGCAGGAGACAGCCAAGAGGGCCAATTAAGATGGTTTGCCCTAGATGGTTGATGGATCCAAATGGGTTTCTGATGGCTCTTGCTGTCCTCTCAGTAGGCAGCTCTGTGGAAGCCCTAGTTGACCTCTGACACAGGGAAATGGCATAGGCAGCTGACACAATCGCTCTGGTGCATTCTCCCGCTCAAAATGGAATGAAGCAGGCTACGCGGTGTTCCAGGAAACTGGTGGGGCAGTGGCTGGAGCCACGTGAATAGGAAAACTCAGAACAAGTCCAACCAAACACAGGTTAGGCCCGATCTGAAGGCCTCGTCCATGGTGGTGAAGGAAACGTTCTCTCTGCCATCACCAAACATATCCTCTCAGAATCACTAAGTGGAGCTCTCTCAAATAACCTATTGTGGTCAATGGATGCAACACTTTGCAGATCAAACCACTCATCTCTGTGCTGACCTAGATGCCATAGTTGATACAACAACTGACATTTGCCCTGGCATTAATGGATTTGGAAAATGGCATTTGCCCCAGAGGGTTTAAATATCTAGCAATTCAAAATAATGGCACATGGCTCTGCATTTACCCACACCGCAACTTCTTATACGTGTGCAGCCTCTGCTCATGAGAGCAGTGAATCACCAGTACATCATCCCAAGGCCATTTCCACCAAGGCTCCAGTGGCACAGCCCAATGTGCCTACTGTTTGCCTGTAACCCCTTCTCCTTGGGTTTCAGATTGTCCAGCCGAAATGAATCTGTTTTCTTCTTTTAGGACTGTAGCTAAGTGAATGTGAGTCACGCAGAGCTTGCTTCCATCTTCCCTCCCCTCCTTGCTTTTGTTGAGCCTTAGGGAGCAATCCTGTGACTCCTAGACAGCATCCAAGGGCATAGGATATTCTGGCTTCCCTGACACAAGGTCAGAGGCAGCATTCCAGCCTTGGAGCTAGAAATCAGAGCTCAGTTATGCGCACACACACACTGGATAGTCAGTGCTGAAAGAGCTGTGATGGCTGCTCTCTGAGGTTGGGAACTCCACCTCAGAAAGGGAGAAGGGAATATGTTGGTGGGCAAGGAGGTAGGAGACTGGAGAGGTCAGGATATGAGTTAAACTGAGGCCACTCCAGCAGCTTCCTTCTTCCTCTGACATGTCCCAGCTGGAAGGGCCAAGAAGCCTGTCCAGCAAAGGTAGAGGGCAGGAGGACAGGAAGGTGATAATCCCCCCTCCTGCCCTCTGAGGTTGGAGGTTTACAATCGTCCAGAGCACAATCTGCAGAACTGCACCCTTAATATTTGTACAGCTCTTAGAAAAATGTAGGTGTTTTAGCAGTATTAGTTACCACTGCTACCAGTAATTATCATGATCTTCATCATCATCTTTGACAGCAAAAAATTGGCAGCAAAGCACTGCTGAGGTTTATTAAGGACACATTTATGCAGTTGGGATAGCAATCCTTACTATGATTATGAACTGCCAGCGGTATCTTACTGGGGAACATCCAGTGTTGCCCAAGTGGACTGGCACCTGTGTGTTGGACCTTTTCCTCTTTCTTCCTCCTGTTCTCTGCATGCACCCCTTTGCAAGCAGGGGCAATTGAAATGAGTTCCACCAACAGTTCTGTTCTTTTGGCAGATGGCTGCTGCTGAATTTTGCCTGTTACGTTTAGATTGACCTTCATTCAAGCAAAGATAAATTCCAAAGGGGAAGCCATTTTGGTCTGTTGGATCAAAGCCAATTTCATGTCACAGGGCACCACAAAGACTAACCAGTTTGTTGAAGGATTGAGCTTATATGGACCAGAGCTCACTTTACCCAATTCTTGACTCATCCCTTCTGATGAAGTAGGCTCTACTACATTAGGACTGATGCCAGGAAGAAACAGTCTTTAAGGAGCCACAAGATGTTTTAGCTAATCGGTTCAACTCTTTATTTTCAATGAAATTAAACATCATGCATTTATCTTTCTGAACAGATCACTTTTACTTCTTGGAAGGACAAAATGATGCTTTGCTGTGTGGCAACAGCTCAGATGCAGGGTAAGAAAATGGTCTGCTGTCTTGTTTTTTATAGCTAGTAGCTGCAGTGGTGATAATCAAAGGTGGACATTTTTATCTTTGTAAGTTTCAAGTCTCACATTTTGAAACCAGAAACCTGTTCTGTATAATTGTGGGATAAATGAAGGAGACATGGCAGTGGCAGGGTGCTATATCCTCTCTCCCCTACTGCATTTTAAAATTCTTATTTTTGAAACTTGGGAAACATTTCTGACACAAACAGGAAACTTTCCCTTTGCTTTTTGGTCTCTCTCCTGGCTTTCTGCTAAGACATAATAAGCTTTTATGTCAGACTCTCTGATGGAGTGTTAAGGATTTGGCTAGTTTTCCAGTTAATTCTGAAAAGACCATGACTTTGTAAACCTTTGCATGCAAGTTGGCTTCCTTGAATGTTTTGCAGAGTGAAATCACAATGACAAAGCATTTTCATTTTACTGAAAACTGGCAGACTATTTGCTCAGGCATCAGCCTGTAGTGAAGCATACACTGATTAAGATAAAACTTGTAAATTGGCGTATTTTGTTTCCCTTTTTCTAGCCAATGTCCAGAAGGATATGTGTGTGTAAAAGCAGGTCGAAACCCCAACTATGGCTACACAAGCTTTGATACCTTCAGCTGGGCCTTCTTGTCACTCTTTCGGCTGATGACTCAGGACTACTGGGAAAATCTTTACCAACTGGTGAGGGTCTTTTAAAGTAGGGAGTTCCTGCTCAGTAGGACCAAGAATGAATTATATAGAGCAATTTATAGTCCAAAGCACTTGAGCGAAGTTCAAAGGAAGGGGGGCACTGTCAAGTGCATCAAGGATTTCATAAGCACACATTGGTGTGTTCAGATCAATCAAACAACTTCAAATGCTATTGAGCAGATTTACTGCTAGCAGCACAGAGCAGCCTTCATTACGTGGTGCGCTGCCAGTGTTCTGGACTGCAGTTTTCACCTGCCTCAGCCAGCATGGTTATTCGTTAGGACAGGCACGATTTCTAGTCCAAAACACCTGGAGGACACCATATTGGGGAAGGAGCAAATGGCACAGTTGCATTCATTCTTGTGAATAAGGGAGCCTGGCTATGGGATAAGCATAAGAATTGGGGAACCTGGCTTGCGCTCCGACCTGCCTGCACCATATGACCTCATGACGCTACATTAGTCTGAGTCAAACCGTGGTGCTGTTGACTGGCAACCCTGTGGCCTGAGAGCCTTTTAACTAGAGCGGCCTTCCGCAGCTTGTGCCTTCCCAACACTTTTGGATTGCCACACCCAGCATTCCAAGTCAATGGTCCTGCTGGATGGGAATTCTGCAAGTTGTGGTCCAAATGTCTCTGAGGTTTACCAGGTTGGGGAAGGCTGAACTAGAGAGTAAACTCTTTCCATACAAAGCACACACACTAGAACTTCCTCTGACCATGGGATGGCTTTTTGTATCCCTGTAAACCAGAGTGAAAGGAGATACATTGGCCCATGAGGTAGAGTGGCACTTTCTTATTCACTATTCTTATCTTTGCTGCATCTGCCAAAAATATAGAACATTGCTGGTATAATGGACTCTACAACCCCAAGGCTGAACCTTAGGCCTACAGGCCAGGTCTGCCCTGTCTGGCATCTCAGACTGTCACGCAGGGCTTCCCTGGGTGGCTATGGCTCTTCCTCTCCTTTTCTCAACTGCCACTTGTTTGATGGCTACCTGGCTTTTGCATATCCTTTTCCATTCTAAAAGGTTGGAATTCCTCTCCCAAGGCTTAGTTGCTAGCTTAGTAAGGGCTTTAAGCTAAACACTTCAGGTATTGTTGGCATTTTGGCTCCACCCTTTTTGCCTTTAGCCCCTTCCCTTCCCCGCTTGGCCCTGTCCATCCCAGAATGTGGGTTTCAAGAGTGTCTCCGAAACTGAATTTAGTCCTGAGGCAGAAAAAGTTTCAACAGACTTGCTCCATAGATTTGGAACAGAGCCTACTTACAAAAAATGCAGACCAATAAGATGTGATGATGGAACAGGAAGGAGAGGATGGAAGGGAGAGTGAAGTGCTAATAGGTGTTGGTGGAGTGCATGGGGATGTGTTGGGGGTTGTGAATGCCAAAAGGCACTCGATGGCTCTGCCCACAAGCCCAGTGGTGTTCAAGCCATCCCGCCACTTGCAAGGTGTCCTCTCATTTGCCACACTGGTTATTCGCTGAATGAACAGGGGGAAATGAGGCTCAGCTGTTTTCCAAAATGTCCCTGCCAGAGCCAGCCATGTAGTTGCACAAGAGAGAATAACTACATGATAAGTGTTACTTTGCCAGTAACCAGCAGCTGTGGTGGCTGCACATCAAATCAGTGCTGTTTTGAAGAACGCTTGTGTAAGACCTTGACTTCCTGTTCCTGATGCTGAAAGAACTGCTTTCTTCCTTCTGCTGAGATTAGGGGTGGAGGAGGTGGTGGAAGAGCTATTATATGCACATAAAAACAATGCAGGGGCTAAAACAGCAATCTCATGCTCACAACACAGACTAATGTGTGAACTAGCACACATTACTAGCACACACAACTAGTTCACATACAACATAATGACCAGTATGTAACAGTGCATGACTTCAGAATAAAATAATCACTGCTAAGGAGAATGTGGCCATTGATCATTTTAGGAACACA